TGTGTATACATATATGTACCTCGGGTACATATCTGTAGTACCTGATACGACAACGACCCCTTGAGCGTCATTTACTGTGCCGGTTTTGAACTGCGGAAGTCTATCTGCTTATCTATTTGGAATACTGTGTTGCGTAATTTCCTCTGCACAGCAGCACTGTGTGTGTGGTTTATTCGAGCTGTTGTTGCAGAATTAGTGAGCATGACAGTCATTTACTGTGCCGATTTTGAACTGCGGAAGTCTATCTGCTTATCTATTTGGAATACTGTGTTGCGTAATTTCCTCTGCACAGCAGCACTGTGTGTGTGGTTTATTCGAGCTGTTGTTGCAGAATTAGTGAGCATGACAGTCATTTACTGTGCCGGTTTTGAACTGCGGAAGTCTATCTGCTTATCTATTTGGAATACTGTGTTGCGTAATTTCCTCTGCACAGCAGCACTGTGTGTGTGGTTTATTCGAGCTGTTGTTGCAGAATTAGTGAGCATGACAGTCATTTACTGTGCCGGTTTTGAACTGCGGAAGTTTTCACTGCTAAAACAACACTACAGGTACTTGTGTTTGCTTTGTATAGACTAAAACAGCATGAAATTTTAAAAACAGTTTTCAAGCTGCATTAATCACCAACTAAAACCACCTCATTTATTTGAATTAATTTGATATTTTATTTTATTTACGGGTGAGTGTAAACTGAATAAAAGTCCTGGTCACAATGCTTAATTGTATGCTGTGGTGATAAAGCATCTTAAAATCACATAGTACTTAGACAAATTGATAGACATTCTAATCCTACACTGTATATTTGAATGTAATACGTATATTTATGTAATAGCATGTAATAATATGTACGTATACCCTACTGTATAAACTTTGTACTAAAGCTTTTGTTTTGTACTCGGTACATCTAAATACAATGCCATTGAGTAAAGTTCTCGATAGCACAAGCTTGTGATGTTCAGATAATTTGTAGATATCTCTCTTCTTTCAGAAGAAGTATGAGTACAGTAGCAAAGTGTGCTGCAGCCTGTGATAGGAACAAGGCTGCGATATTGGAAGTTTTGAAAGACTACCTGCCCGCTGGCAAACCTACGCATGTACTTGAGATCGGATCAGGTAATAACTGCCCTGGTGACGCAGACCTCAGTTAAATTCACCCTTGTTGCCTACAACTACTAACTGTAACTATAACTATAAGCATAACTATAACTATAACTTGCCATCGCTCGATACTACGATATATACACGAATAACTGAATTGCTTATTCGCTGCTTACCCGAGGATGATCCATGAGCGGACGTTTGTAACAACGTTCATCTAGAAGCATTTGTCTCTCACGTATCATGACTGCGCGTCTAAGTTACTGCAGACATTAGTGACACTACTGTTACTAAACACTAGTGCAGATGTAAATATTCTACTATGCTGTGTCAGTGTGAAGATCAAAATCTTAGCAGATGTGCATGATTTCCAGCCTAGGTGTTTTTCCCTTGCATATCACAACCATACCTAAGCTTAATCACATAATCACTTCTAATCACTTCTTCATCACATTACCATTCTTGTCCCATCTGCAACATCTCCAGCCTAGGTTTTTCTCTCGTATGCATCACGGCCTCATATAACCTTCTCCCTTCTTTCGTCTCATCTCTATTCCCATCCCATCTATTAAAGCATTTCGAGCCTAAGTGTACGAGCGTCGCTCGTATCATAACCACACCCAACCTTACCCCTTCTCTCGTCTCATTTCCATCCTAGGTGTTTCTCTTGTGCATATCATGGCCACACCTAGCCTTACCCCTTCTTTCAAGCCTAAGTGTTTCTCTCGCGCGTACCACGACCCGCACCTAACCTTCCCCTCCCCCTTCTCTCGTCTTGCCCCCCGCAGGTACGGGCGTGCACGGCGTCCACTTCACCTCCGCGCTGCCGCACGTCGCGTGGCAGCCGTCCGACTGCGACGACGAGCATCTGAGCCGCATCGTCGCGAACCGACAAGCGAACCCGTCGCTCAGCAACTTCCTCCCGCCGCTGCGCGTCGACGCGACGTCTCCCGCCGACGCGTGGGGCGTCGCGCGCGGCTCCGCCGACCTCCTCTACTCGAGCAACGTCGTCCACGTCGCCCCCTGGGCGGTCGCGCGCGGGCTGTTCGCCGGCGCCACCTGGGCGCTGCGCGGCAGCGGGCTGCTGGCGATGTACGGGCCGTTCACGGTGGACGGCGTCGCGCAGCCCGAGTCGAACGCGAGGTTTGACGCGGCGCTGCGGCTGCAGGACCCCGCCTGGGGGCTGAGGGACGTGCGCGAGCTGCAGACGCTGGGTGAGGAGAACGGGCTTGAGCTGGTCAGCTCGCACGAGATGCCCGCAAACAACAAGATGCTGTTCTTCAAGAAGGTGGCGGACGGCCGCTAGGGGGTCTCCGGGCGGCGGCGGCGGCGGCGGCGGCGGCTGCGTCGAAGCAATAACCGTTACCGTGGGAGAGATCCGGGAGGAAATGCGCCGTTTCGAAAACCGGGAACAATTTTGTTGATTCCAGCAGAATGTAATGTGCGGTCGGTTGTACGTTTGTCGCTCGATGTATTTACTGAGGCCTCTTTCAAGTTACTATTCAGAAGTTAGCTATGCGTACTTGCCCTATCTCTGCGCAGTGACTTTATTATATTAGAAGTAACGTGTATTAGTTTCGTAGTTTGAGTTTCTGAGATCAAATTCACCATTGCCATTGTCCCTGGGAATGACTTGATTTGAGTGACTGTTGGAATCTCAACAAAGCTCAGGAAGCAAGTAAGGCACAATAAAAAATCTGCCTGAACAAAAAACGCACAACAGAAAACTTATCTCTGGACAAATTTTCAACTGTAAGATTTCTATCGCGTGGTTGACATTTTTGTTCAGCAGCATTATATGTGACGCCATTATCATGTTCAACAAAGTAAAAAAAGAATTTTGATGTATGAGGTGATGTGATTCTGGCCCGTTGCTTAATAAGATTCTTAAAATTTTCCTTGTACGTTTACTTTATAAATTTTTTAGGAGTTTTATAGTATTATGTACACAGTATAATCAAGATGTATCTAACTATGAACAATTTAGAGGGTAACAATCTATACAAACGCTTATTTCTCCAGTACTAGACTAGCAAATACTTCGTGTCATGCATAATCATACTACCTTATGGCAAAATAAACTCTAGTTCCTCCCATTTCACTGCGCGTTGTCTTATAAAAGGTATTTGAAAATACCTCCAATGTTGTTCAAATTCTCCGATGTTGTTGACACGTTTGCGTTGCTCTGCCAAGCAACTGTACAGCGGATGCAACCCGTAGCAACATGTGACGTCACCTAACCGATTCGGGCTAAATTGTTTGGCAAACAATTCGGCGTTGGCGCCAGATTGCCAGATTTCGCACCTCTTTCTTGTGGGTTTTAAGCAAACGTGCAGTGAAATGGGAGGAACTAGAGTTTATTTTGTCATAAGGTAGTGTGATTATGCATGACACGAAGTATTTGCTAGTCTAGTACTGGAGAAATTAGCGTTTGGATGCGCATATTGCGGCTTTAAGGTTTTCTTATTTTCTATAGTGGCAGCTAGTTTGTTTTTAGACAGCAGCTGTGGTTTATGCAAATTTGAATTATTTATGTTATACCAGATGTATTAATTCTTAAGATCTTAATGATCGGTGCTAGCTAGTAGAAAAACATATAATATGAGAGTGTATACATGACAGTGAAGAAGTGCGATAGCTTTCTGTAATTATATACTTTTTGTTGTCTGGTAACTGTCAGATTATACAATTTAAATCTGTTATCCACAACTGTTGGTGGAAATTTAGTAGTATATACCTTAATAAAGTTTATATGTATGAAGCATTACTGAATCTGTTGGCTTCGTTATTAATCGCAACATAGTATATGCTGCAAACATAACAACCCACAACATTTCGCTACTGTTCCGTACGCCTTGGCCTAGATGATTCGCCTACTTTGCCTTCCTTTGGTAAATAGTGTACGTGCATGCGTGTCATCCTAGTTAAATTTAGAATAGGTCATAGGGAGGAGTCACCTTTGCTCACATAATTATCTGTGAGATGTTTTGCCACCATAACCCACTTCTGCATCACTTTTTATTTAGTAATCACCTATCGGTCCACAAGTTACACGCGACCTCCAAAAAAATGTCACGTTTCAAACTAAATACACCGCAGCATTTAATGACCAGTGTTAGCTCAGTGAAATAAAATAAAAATTTCAAACCATTTTTGCCGAACGCAAAGCAGGGAAGCAATCGGGCAAGCAGGAGAAGGCAGTGCAACGACAATGGGTGGGAAGAGGCAGCAGCAGCAGCAGCAGCAGGAGGAGGACGACAACTCCGTTAGCTGCTGGGACGTGTCGAGCGTGCTTGCTGATGAGATGCACATCAGTCCGGGCGTCGCTGGCAACATCGGTGAGTCATCATCTGGTCTCGCCGAGGGAGCGTTAGACTACAGTCAACCCTGTGTTAGAAGTCGCTTCAATAGAGCAGACACCTGTCTATAAACTGCACATTTTGGCGTTGGGTTCTTTCGAATTTTTTTGAGTGATCCTTTATATACAGATTTGATTGTGCTTATTTTACAGTAACTTGACCCAGTATTTTAATAGTGTTTCTTTTCTTCATTCCATAAATTTTTATCCTATTCATTGCTAATTGCAAGAAGCATGTGCAAATGTCACAGATCTGTTTGTTACATAGGAGTTGCACAGCACATAGGTAGTAGGACATCCTCTAATCATAATGGTCTTTTCACGTGCATTGATCGGTCGATCAAACAACAGAAAGCGATTATACGTGATTGAACACTGATGTTTGACCGGTGGTCGTTTCAGTCCACCTACTGGAAGACGGGTGCACCATTCCGTTCATCGCTCGCTACAGGAAGGAGAATACGGCGAATATGGATGCAGGAAAGCTGCGAGAAGCGAGTGACGTCTACCAGGAACTAGTGTAAGCTATAGTGTGCGCTGCAGCAAGGGGGTGCTACGACCACGCTTGGTGCATGCGGTGGCCGATGAAATGGCTTAGCACTCCCATTCCATTTCCCCCCCCCCCTTGTCACCCATTCACAGATCTCTTACATTCTGCAGTCAAACCATACAGGTCTCTATTCTACAGCGTCATCTACTGGCTAGCACAGGCTCGACTGTACATGTTTCACACAATTCTACAGGGTTTCTTCTGAGGGAAAACTAGACAACGGAGGTAATGGCCAGTTTGGGGGGAAAACGCACATAATGGATTCAAAGGCGTGTTTGCGCGTCTCGAGGACCTAGCAAAGCTAGCACCGCAGGAGCTCGCCCAGCTAGGGGCGTCTGGGGGCGGGTAAATTCAGGAATATTTTCACAACGGCGATGTTAAATTTGAACACGGCGGTGCGCCACTGTGCCTCTTATGTAGAAAACCCTGATTCTAGCCTCATGCTCGGCATCTCCCTGTGTTTACAGTGCAGTGCAGACGAAGGCGGAGGTCGTGTGTAAGCAGATCAGTAAGCAGGGGAAGCTGACCGCTCCGGTGAAGGCGGCCCTCGCGCATTCACACAGCATGGTGGAGATCGAACACATCGTGAGTTGGTCGGCGAGGCTATCGGCACCGATACGTGACCAGTGACCACCCCTCGCTGCTGTAACCATCCTCCTGATTCCTTGTCTCTTCTACGTAACTGTAGTGCCTTCTCCCTCATTGTTCCCTTCTACGTAACCATGGTGTCTTCTTTATAACGGCGGGTCCGTTCTCCCTGAATCAGGTGTCTTCTATTTAATTGTGTTGCGTTCTCCGTTAGTCCGGTGCCTTTTATCCAACCATGGTGCTTTCTCCCTTAATATGCCTTCGAATTCTACCTGCTTGTAGCATGTCCTCTGTCACTGCGCTGCCTCTTCCATCTCTGTGGCACGTCCTTCCTATCTCTGGTTTCTCCTCCGTAACTCTGGTGACTTCTTCCTAGCTATGGTGACTCTTCCCGAACTGCAATATCTCCTCTCTCACTGTGGTGCGTCTCCTCCTTAACTGTAGAGGTTCCTCCTTAAGAGTAATGTGCTTTGCTACTCTTCCCCTAATTTGTTTTCTTTCTAATCCTCCCATCTATTCCTTTAATTATCCCCTCTGTACACATCTAATTTTGATCCCATCCTTACTACCTTATTTCTGCATGCGAGGTTGATCTATGTTTTTCTTAGTTAACTTCATTGTCTGCTTCCTAGACGCTATGTGTAAAGTAGTGAAATGCTGTCCCTTACATTTAATAGTGCTTAGATAATTCTTAGCTTGTGAACGATTTCGATTTACCGGCTTTTCCAGTATGCTCCCTTCAAGACTGGTAGCAAGAGGACACTGGCAGAGAGAGCCAGGACTCTGGGTCTGGAACCTATCGCAACTGAAATCCTTCAGGGAAGAAATGTGAACCCGTGTCGTTTCTTGCAACCTAACAAGAAAGGTTAGTTCCAAATAAATGAGGAGGAATATAGGATCTGATGATGGTGACCCTTCCTCTATCTACTCCCCTCTCTTTCCCTTGTTTCTCTTTTCTCTCCTATTCTCCCTGCATCTCTTCTCTTTCCTGCTCTTTCACTCACTCACACCTGCTTTTGTTTGCTCTGTAATATATGTTCTCACTGTCATTTCTTCTGTTACAGGTCTTCAGACAATGGAGGAAGTCGAGACAGGCATACAGCACATCATTGCAGATATCATCAGTAAGGACAAGAATGTTCTGGACAGAGTGCGAGAACTGTACGTAACACCCAACATATACCGCGTGTAACCTTCTTCAAAGCTCTCTCTCATTCAGTTCAATCATGCTGAAAACCCTGAAAGTTGCTTTGTATTGGGCAATTGATAACCATTTCTTTATGTTCATTCAGCGTTATTAATCCTCAATTGCTGTCTGCTCTAATTTCTGAAGGATACGTTTACGTGTACTGTTTGACAGGAGCCACGATGCTGCAATATTGTTGAAGGTCACCAAGGCAAAAACAGTGAAGAAGAAAGTTGGGAACGATGTTAAGAATAAGGAGAATGAACACAAGTTTGAGATCTATTACAATTACAGTTCCCAAATCAGGACGATTCGACCTCATCAGGTAGTTCCTTCATCATCCACCTTCGTAGGTGCTATACAATACTCCTACTGTCATATTTCAGAAATATCAGGTTGATAATTATGGCAGGAATTCTCTTTACTATTAATACTAAGGTTAAATTATTCCATACCAACCACACTTAGCGTCTTTTGTACTATCTGCTTCAAATAATTGCACATGCAGGATTAAATACATTTACGTACTTTATCTACAATTGCACATAGCTGTAATCTAGATAGATTCCTTCTCTGCATTTAGTGAAGTCTTAATCTTGTGGAAACGTTTTAAAACTTTGAAACTGCACTTATGCAAATTCGTCAAACTGTCAGTGTTGTGAACTCAAACTGAGAATGTTAGTTTCACCGTATATGCCAAGCTGACAGATGTGCATGTCTCGTGCAGACGCTAGCCATCAACCGTGGCGAAAGTTTGGGCGTGTTGTCGGTGAAAGTGGACGTGCCGCAGCGCGTCGCTGACGAAATCACTCGGTTCTGCACTCGGAAGTACATGGCGCACCCTGCCAGTGCGAGACTAGTGTGCAGCGCTGTGGCGGACGCCTACAAGCGGCTCCTCAATCCTCTCATGTGCAGGAAGATTAGGTGGGTAGAGTTATCGCACGTACGATGCCGGTTCGAAATAGTACGAGGCCGAAGAAACTTGTGTTAATCGCTCATGCAGGGTCTCAAATCAGCGAAAATATAAATCTTGATTTTAATCTGAATCTTGATTTTAATCTGAATCTTGATTCAGAAGGAAAATCGTGTTTTGATGTGAAACTCGCTAACATCAAATAAAAACAAATATCTTTGTTGCCTGCTATTTTAATGCTTCTATGTACACCTAATCTACAAGACTCTTTGTCCTACTTATTTAATGAATGATTTGCCGCCAGAATATGCAATGGGTCGTAAATTGAAAAATAACAAAGACACTTATCGACGTGTTTCAGTTTCATCCCCCTGCTTATATTAGTGACACTGCACTAGTCGATGTCATGCCCGTTTTGCTCAAGTTCCTGTTGAGTACAAGCAGGTCTCATGTGGGTACAAGCAGCCTGCTGGTCTCATGTGGATCATGTACATGTGGGTACAAGCAGCCTGCAGGTCTCATATGGGTCATGTACATGTGGCTACAAGCAGGTCTCTCATATGGCATATGGGTCATGTACATGTGGCTACAAGCAGGTCTTATATGGGTCATGTACATGTGGGTACAAGCAGGTCTCTCATATGGGTCATGTACATGTGGCTACAAGCAGGTCTCATGTGGGTCGTGTACATGTGTGTACAAGCAGGTCTCATGTGGGTCATGTACATGTGTGTACAAGCAGGTCTCATGTGGGTCATGTACATGTGGGTACAAGCAGGTCTCATGTGGGTCATGTACATGTGTGTACAAGCAGGTCTCATGTGGGTCATGTACATGTGGGTACAAGCAGGTCTCATCTGGCTCATGTACATGTGGGTACAAGCAGGTCTCATGTGGGTCATGTACATGTGGCTACAAGCAGGTCTCACGTGGCTCATGTGTGCATTGATCCTGCAGGTCGGAGCTCACGAAGGCAGCGGAGAACACGTCGCTGGAAGTGTTCGGCGGCAACCTGAAGCGTCTGCTGCTGACTCCGCCGGTGAGGGGCAAGGCCGTGCTCGGCATCGACCCCGGCTTCAAGCACGGATGCAAGATGGCTGTCTGCTCGTCGACAGGTGCGTGTTAGGAACAACGGAGACGGTCCGTACTCGTGCATGCAGTCTAACCTGCGTATAAGGGTCACTCGAGAAAAATGGCGAAGCGTCCTTTATGGATAGGTGTTCATTCTGTAGAGGTGGTTTCATTGTGTGACTGCCACTGAAGCCAAATACGAAAGGTCTCATTTATAGAGAGGTGTCCATTCAATAGAGGTGGTTACATTGTATAATTGCCACTGAGGGGAAGTGCCAAGTGTTATTTTATAGGCAGGTGGATGTCGATTCAATAGACGTGTCTACTAACACAAGTTTGGCTATATATGGCATTTTCCATAACTATATTAATCTGCGAAAATAGTATTGCCCGACAAAAATTGAATCTGGGTGTGTCAATTTGTTTCATATTTCTCTGCAGGTGATATTTTACGTACGGCTGTGATATACCCATTCTGCAACCCATCACTCATGGCTCAGGCCAGGGACAAGAAGGAGCTTGTCAACATTGTCAAGAATTACAAGTATATATACAAACTATTCCGGGATTGTATTTTGCTCGAAACATATGGCTTCAAGTGTGGGAAAGCAAATAAGCGAGGACAACTGGTTAGAACGAGCTGTTTCAACAATACTCTCTGGGACATTTCCATCAAAGTGCATGCAGAATAAATGTAAATCAGGTTTCTTCTATAAATCTCATGTTGGGAACTGCTAGCAAATTAAAAGTAAAAATCCTCACATCGAATATGGAGCCATGACTATGGAGCCTTGTAGTATTTCAAGCAATCCTATGTGAAATACCATGGAATCATAATTCTGTAATTTCATTTGCTCAACCTGAAAGAGGTTACCCTTTCAGTAACGTACTCTTGTATCCCTTCAATAATGATCTTGTGTAATAAAAGTATTGTGTGTAGGTATAGCCACATAAAAAAGGATAGCCCAAACATAACAAACGTATATCTGTGTGATTTTGCAGTGTTGATGTAGTTGCGGTAGGCAATGGGACGGCATGCAGGGAAACAGAGGAACACCTGTCACGCCTCATTCAAGCTGGTGCATTCCGACCACTCGACATTGTCTACTGGTGAGACATTATACCACTTAATCGAAGCCGCATTAGTACCTTTCAGCACATTATAATTCTAGTTTTCTCCCTTGGTGTCCACCATGTACCTCAGCTGTATGTGAGCCTGCCACAATCTTTACTTGCATAGGGATAATTGCAAAAACATGTCTATTCACAGTGTATTACGTAATGCACTCAAACCTCCGTATAATGAGCATTCAAAGGAAATTCCAAAAGTACCGCTAACATTTGGATTGAAATTGAAAACATTTGAAATTTAGATAACAAATTCGGTAAACATTCTAGTGTCACTCACTATCTATGTGTTTTTACCAATAAGCAAGCATACGAATTAGACAGTTTATGGTAACATTAAAAAAATATATTTAATAACAAATAAATGTTAACAAAAAATATAATCATAAAATACATCAAGCCTGTGGTTGCTTCTCCTATCTCCTGCATGCATCGACTTTCCATAGGCAGAAAACACAGTGGTCAGTCACTTACGACCTCAGGCTTGTCTTGCGTCTGTCGGAAAACCGCGTGCACAATCGTAGCGGACGTCACTCAGTATAAGTCGTAGCCGTCAAAGTTTCCGTAGCTGCCGTATCCGAGGCCGTTGCCGTATCCGCCGTTGCCGTACCCGCCATGGCCGCCATAACCGTGTCCGTAGCCACCATAGCCCCCGCCGTAACCATAGCCGGCCTGTCCGTCCGGGTAGTCGTAGCTGGCTGACGTCAGAGCAACACACAGCATCTAAAGAGTTGGGCATATTACCATCAAACCTGTACTAGCATATACCTCTATAGAATGGATACACCAGTCTATAATGCTCATAGTGTCTATGTCTCCCTGGGTACTGTCGGAACGTATCTGATATGGTTAGGGTTAGGGTTAGGGAGTAGGCGTAGGCGACTCCCTAGACTCGTTAGTGGAGTAGGCGAGGTAGATAGTTACCAGGGTACGTTCCGGCAGTACCCAGGGAGACATAGACCCTCTCAGCGTCTATAATGGACACGCTCCATTTCCCTTGGGGGAGCCTTATATACAGGCTTGATTGATTAAATTATATAAGTATATATTGTACGTCTTAGATAAAGCAATCAATCACTCATGAACTCTCATCTTTAGCATTATTGCGATGATGGCTTCGTAGCATAGTCATAGTAGTTTAGTCAATCGTAACTATTTCTCAAAAGAATCATTGTACAGTCAGCAGCGATCTAGATTATAAGAGCCTTGCATTACCAGCTTTAGTTTCAGCTGGTAATTAGATCCAGGTACCAATTCTATGAAATACAAGTTGCTCTATAAGCTATGTGATTTTACAGCTGTTCCAATAGAAAATCAGTGCGAATACTGTCTTTGATATGATAAACTTATCACGAGTAAATAATCTCAAAGAGAAACTTGAGATTAGTTACTCCTGAACCTATCAATAGCTAATAATACCTAGGTATTATTAGATCTTGAACCTATCTATGTATAGGATATCATTAGTGTAGAATATGAATAGCTTGAAATCTTGACAACTTACTGCTATGGTAGCCGCTACGTATGCAGTGACGATGAATGCAGCAGTGGTCTTCATTGCTGGACGTCGGTAGTGGTGTGAGAAGTGACTGTGTTACTACAGAGCTTGCTCCTATTCCACTCCCCACTTTATCAACCTAGCTGTCTCTAATGTGACCCAATACCGTACCCACGTGAACTTCTTGCAATTATTTTCGTCAATCGACAGTGGTCTTTGATGGAGAAATTGCTGTTTCAATACGCATACTCTCATTTTGGGTCCCAGTGAAAGTAAATGATTGCATACACACTCTTCGTTGTACAGTTCAGAATTCATTTAGCAAATTTGTCTGTATATTTGTCTGTTGATTCTCGGTTGACATTTTTTCTCGGGGGAAACATTCGTTCTAAATGTATTTGTTTGTAGTTTTAACGGATGTATAGATGTGAATGTAAAAATGCCCAATTATATATGGTAACAAAATATCTGAGAACAATCATACCATTATTTGTTATTGACCCATATTTTATTGGCGTATATTTACTTGCTGTTAGAGAGAAATTGGGTAATTATTCTTCTCAGTAACTAGTCTAACCTGTTAACTTGGTGTGTAAACAAACTAGCAAGTTGATATTTTGTCACTATGTATATGTTTCAATGAACTGTTCCTGTGTGTTGGTTTCACAGTATAGTGGATGAGAGTGGTGCATCCATATATAGTGTGTCAGAAGAGGCTGCTAAAGAGATGCCAGATCTAGACACTAATTTTAGGAGTGCAGGTAATGTTCTTTAAGAGAGAGAGAGAGAGAGAGAGAGAGAGAGAGAAGGCGAGAGAGAGAGATAGCGAGAGAGTGTGTGTGTGTGAGAGATAGACAGAGAGAGAGAGAGAGCGAGAGCGAGAGAGAAAGCGAGAGAGAGAGAGAGCGAGAGAGTGTGTGAGAGGGAGAGAGAGAGAGAGAGAGAGAGAGAGAGAGAGAGAG